TAGTTTTTGTTGTGACATGATGTTGAGTCTTTAAGTAATAGTGAGCAAATATCGCTATTCGATCGCTGTTCAAGCGACTGCAACACACAGCAACCTGGATGATGTAATGCTTTAAAGCCCTGGTAATACAAGTCGGGAATAGGGCACGGCTCTTAAAAGTGCTCAGCGATACTACAAGCCAACGCGTTTGTTAGGATATATTCAAAATTATATTTATATTCACATTAACCATACTTCCTGATGGCTTCGTTGTCCAGCGATCCAAAACAGATAGTTGGCGACTACTGCATAAGGTCTTGAGTTGGTAAAAGGAACTTGTTACTTTACTGCAAACCCAAACTCAAAAAATCCCACTCGGAATCCAATCCAAAATTCTAACTCGGTAAATAGGTAACCTCCGGAAGAACTTAGATGAAACGAATCGTGACCAGCTTTTTTAGAGCGCATTTAATTCACTGTTACATATAACGCCTTTCAGCTCCAAGAATATGGGCATCTGTACAGAAAAGAAACGACTCCTCACTTTTGTGATGATGGAACTTGGTAAGTTTCATTCAAGATGAATAAATACCTGAATGACTGGATAAATAGAGAATGGCTACCCCTTGAGAGAACACAGAAAGGAGAAGAGTCGAAGGCAATTTTTATAAAAACCGGATCACTACAAGATCGAATCATTCCACACTAGAGATGTTTTACTGCAGCCTCCGTATTAGTACGGCCTACGAACTTGACTAAAGGTGGCTTCATTTCTGGCAAAAATGAATATTCTCCATGAACGTCTGATGTGGTATTTTCGTGTTTAATGGAGTAAAATCTGTATTTTTGCTCAGTGTGTTTTGTATAAATATACTTTTGTTTTGTCTTATTTCCCAGTATTGCAAATACTTGTCCAGGATACGCTGTAAGTATGCCGGGATACACTATTTACAAAACTAATTGTGTTAAAATGGTATTACTATTGCAAAAACATATGTGACTGTGCAAATTTTCAGCTCAATCTTCTACGGAGTCGGTAACTTTCACAAGCAGGATCCACACACCATATCAATAAGAGTGATGGTGCCATCAACGAAGGCCCCTGCCGCCACTTTTCACACAAGTTGTAGAAGCAGAGATGGTGTTAGCAGCACACAAGGCGTATCTTTATTAAATAGTTGCTCAACAACGCAAGTGTTAAAAAGTACCACATCAAATGAAAAGTTTCCCAAAAGTACACCGTCAAGTGCTGAACCCACAGCCCTTAGTCAGGGAGATCATATCCCACTAACCACACATGTAAAGCGGCCAACAACAGCGGCTTCTAAAGGGAACCCTAGCAATACTGGGGGTTATATTGTGAACACAGCGCAATCATCGACGCTATTAGAAAACGCTGGTGTGGATACAACCGCAAATGATAGAATTTCAAATTCAAGCGGACAAGATGGAGGCCGAAAGCGCAGCTGGACTCTGGTAAGGTCGTTAATTAGTAACGAAGATAAATAAGCGAGTATGACCACATGTGGTGATGAATTCATGTGATTGTAATCGGAATTCCGGTGATGTTACGTATTATCAACTGTTACTGTCAAATATTTTATGGTTTTCCTATTTCCTTTCTAGCTTTCTAAGTTTCTTTGTAATAGTTTTATGACGTTGTTTTTGTGGGTATTTTGTGGATATGATTGCCCACGTACAGTAAACGACACAAAGAGCTCAATGATGCCTTGTTGTAGTTAGCATTTTGTAGAAGGTGTTTAGGAAGACTTTTCAGTTCTAGTCTACGAGTCATCATGATAACATCGAGAGCTAAGGTTCAAAGGAAACTCTGTAAAATACCTAACGCGGACACAGAAGTAAGTCTTATTTTTCTTTATATGCATGTTATCGTTTTCAGTTGTCTGTTTTGACTTTAAACGCTCGTTTTCGAAGTTTGTAAATAGTTTTTAGCTAGTCTAATTGTAGTTTTCGCTATATTTACTTCTTATTTTTCGAACCCGCTCAACACTTAACGCTCAGCGCTCAACACCCAACGCTCAGCGCTCGACACCCAACGCTCAGCGTTCAACGCCCAACGCTCAGCGCCCGACGCTTTCTGACCGCTTTTCAACTGACACAGAACCGATTTCCAGCATTTTTCATCGCTTCGCTTCAATAAACTTTGTTTACTTTAATGTCGTCTCCAACTTTGTCTCTATCTGTTACGAAGCGCGTATAACGTGGGATTAAACGATAGCCTGTGAGAACGTTTCGCATTCACATCAACATTGCCTTAGTCTCGAAGCAACACAGGAACAATATGCGAGGAAAGATGCTTATAGCAAGTCAGAAGTACCTTCCCTCTTCTCCTTTCTTCTCCTTCGCCCTTTTCTTTTCACTCTAACTCTATCTGAAGATCTGATTTAGTATCCAAATATAACTATACACTTTATTCAAGATAACTTAATGCGGCTTTTCATCATTGAATTCCGGCCCGTTGGCTTCTGTTGTGCAATTTACGGTACAAATGTCCAAATTCAAATTACTTGCAAAAATGTAATTGTAGTAGGACTTAAAAATTCGCTCACCGTTTTAAACGAACAAGTTATTTGAGAAATAATTTCGATATCTCAACAAAGTTGAAATGGTAAATTGGCCACTGTAACGATTACAAAATCTGACGTTTCGAGATTTAGCCCTTCGTCGGAGCGAATAGAGGAATTGTGGGTTGTGTGTACTTTTAAAGGCAGAAAATGGAGCTACGTTATTGGTGGGAACTAAATAAACAAAGTCTAGATCGTTTAGCGATGCCATCTTGTTGTTCGGCTTTCCCTCCCTTCTGAGGCGGAGCTGACAGCAATGCAGTGTTTTCTGGATAGATGTCACAAACGTAAATATACATCTAAATCATTTTCTATTAAACACCTTTTGGAAAAGCAGGATAGAAAAGTATTTCGTAAGGTATCTGGCATAGACCGACACCCTCTAAGGGGATTATTACCCGAGAGGAAAGTGTCGACTTACAAATTAAGGTATCGAACAAGTCAGTATCCGAAAGTTAATACAGAAAGATTCAAGAACTCTTTCATTAATCGCTTAATTTTTAAATACAATTTAGCTGTGTGAGTTTATATTTTAGATATATTTAGATATTTTATATATACTTTTTACTCAAATAATTGTAACATAAGATATGTATTTTTTATCTTGTGGAAATAAAGACTACTACTACTACTACTACTACTAC